ATGACTTTTGACTCTGTTACTTAGTATCCTTAACTTGTGGTATCCTTGCACTGATAACCATTTTAATTTATTACACCTCCCCCCCTTGACTAAATTTAAATACTAGGCAGATTTTGTTCAAGCTCTGAAAACTCCATTTGAGTAAGTTGTTAGTCTAAACTAATTGTGGATTTGAGCATAGAGATCGAGGTAGGAAAAAAAGAGTGAGGGGAAATTCTCCTGGACTCACAATCTTGTACTCCCTCCCAATCTTAGCTCCACTGGGTTGCGTTTGCCTTTCAGAAGAGAACCATATGAGTGACTGTGGATGGTTCAGCCAAAATCTGTGGTCATTACTAGAAAAATCTTAAAAAACAAAAACAAAACATGTTCTTCAATGGCTTTGCCCTATTTCAAGCACAATTTAAATGTAGGAACACCAAGTCTTACTCATCTTAGCATCCCCCATAATGACTAAGCAGAGTTCCACTATCCATAGTGGGCGCAATACAAAATCTGTTCAATTTAAGTAGCCATCAGAACTGAACTTTGTGCAATCATGATTCTTTATCTTCAACACATTTATTCCCATTAACTAACTTTACCTCAAAGGCATTTTTCCCCAGAAGCTAGAATTTTCCTTGTTGAAATCAGGAAGTCTTTAGAAAAAAATCTTTGGAAGCCAAAGCTGGTAGGCCAAGATCGACAGCTGCAGTGTTGGCCTGGTGACCCTTTGAGATCAATTGGAGTCCTGCTAGGGAGGGGTCTGCCCACACTGGCCTCTTTAATTAAAACGAAGGTGCCAGGGCTACAGACAAAAACCCCAACAATCTCCTCTTTTCATTTCCTTCATCACCAGTTGATTACAGGAAATTGTTTCAGAGAAACCATTTACTGTCCAAATTAAGCAAGGAACTTATCTTTTCCTCTTGTGTTTATGAATTTATCTCGGGTATTTGTTTAGCAGACCGCTTGGAACTGCACAGTGCTTTCCTTGTTGACTAGTTTCCATCAGCAGCAGCAATTAGCATCGGTTTCCTAGGCAACCATTTTGTACCCTACTGAGAAAAACCTTTTCTTGACAGGAGCATTCTGTCTAAAATTGTCTTGTTTTCCTTCCTTCACAAGTGTACGGTAGGCTTGTCGTTTCTTTTAACACAGCACTATTATGCCTGTTATTCTTAAAAGCAGAAACATTTGCTGGATTTTATATTCTATATGGTTGCATTTATTGTCAGTGTCTCTTACTTCTCTCTTAACAACCTGGAAAAAAATCAACAAAAATGTGTTCTCACACTTATGACAACTTGCTTAGGGTTTTTTTGGTATGCGTGCTCACAGTGTGACAGTGAGCCTTTGCATGTTCACGTAACCACAGCTGGCCTGGATGAAAACCCAAAGGGTACACTTTCAAAATCCAGCCTCTGTGTATCCCAACAATGTCATGAGTGGCTCAGGAGCAAGTTGAAGTTTCCAGGGCCACTGAGAAAGTTGTAACTCTGTTGCTTTTTTTTTTTTTTTTTTTTTTTTTTTTTTTTTTTTTTTATTTTTTTTTTT